AGAAGGAAGGTTGGGCAATCTACTTCCATAGAGATACTGCCTTGGAAACCCAAGGAGGGGTCGCTTTGAGTCAGGTCTGACTCCATGGCACATAACAACAAAAAGGGGTAGGATGGGGTACACAACTCCTGGAGGCACCTGGGGTTGCTTTGGGCAGGTTCTGGGGATGTCTCAACAGATCCTCACACAAAAGGTCCAGTTACAACCCCCACAGCAAGCCAGCTGGGGTTAAGGTGAATCAACTCCAGGGAACTACAGCTGCTGAGAACCCCAGAACCACACCCCAGGAGTTCTAGGACCCCCACAGCCTTGTCCAGAGAAAACCTCATCAGTCCCCCACCCACAGGGACTACAGGCAGGGATCATTTCAGGCTGAACAGCATGAGGGTGAGAACTGGAGACCAGTGCCCCAAGCAGCACCCACCACCCAAGCAGGAGAAGCAGAATGGGGTCTTCTCTTTTTTCAAGATATCTACAAAGTATTTGAAAAATTCAGTGAGTCCTGAGAACTCTCAGAGCTCTAGGACCAGCATATGGCTCAGGAAGCTGTGTGACTGGGCCTTTCTCAGTGGCTGTTGGGCCTTTAGAAATCAGTAATAACAGCAATGGTAATTTACCTTAATAACAGTATATGGCACTTTCAGGCCACTTTCATCTGCATAACTCCCAGAGCTGGGAAAATGGTAATTATCAAGCAGGTGCCGCACCCCAATGGTGTGTGTGTTATTAATCTATCAGCACAGGCTCGGAGACTGAGGCCAAGGGAGAAGGAGTTCCTCTCACACTGAGCTAAGGATAGAGGTGCCAAAAGCTGCTGGGCAGCGGGGAACTGAAGGTGCTGACTCCACACTTGCTGTGTTTGAGAAAGATGCTGAAGACAGGGGCACCCCTTCCAGGATCAGCCAGACCTGGGTTCAGGGAGAAAGACCCCAGATGTGTCCCCAGCCCCCTCCCCAGGCTGCAGCATGGCCTCTGATCTTAAGCCTGTGCACTCACCTGCCCAGAGCACTGCAAAGAAGGTTGACAGCTACTCTGAGCCTCTGCCATCTCTACTGTGTGCTCAGGCACCCAGGGTAAGTGAGAGCTCAGCCCTCCACACAGCCTCATGCCACAGGTGCACCCCAAGATGTGGGAGTAGGGGGGTGGATCAGATCAAGACCAGGTCAGGAAGTGGGAAGAATGCTTCTTGGAGACCCAAAAGCATCTCTGCAGTCCCCTTCCACCCTTAGCACTGATTCCAAAATAATGGGATCTTCCCTACAGCAAGGCCTGCCTGTTCATTATAGCAGAAAACCTGCAGAGGAGGCCTGGCTGGCCTGTGCCCTCCTCCAGGAGGGCAGTGGAGGGTGGGCAGAGTCACAGGAAACCAGAGGTCTTTTCCTATTGTGGCCATGGAGGGAAACAGTACAGAGTCAAACGAGGATGGGAAGCTAAAGACAGAAGCTTTGCATATGCAGGTTCCCCTGTGGCTGACTATGTGTCTGGCACTGTGAGAGATGCTGGAGTCAGACACAATCTCAGCTCTGGGGAAATGATAAGGGCCAAGCCAGGCACGAAGCCACGGCCTTGTCCTCCAGCCCTCTTGGGCAGTCTCTATTAAGGGTGTTATTCTAAGAGATTTGCAGTGTTTTCCTTCAGCATGTTAAAGAGCTGACCAGAGCCCCTAGAGGACCCTGAGATAACACTCTGACCTTCAAAGGGCCCAGCTTCCTGCAATATCAGGTTCAAGAACTGCCCTCTCTGCTTTAAATTTGGTCAAGCCCCCTCATGGATGAGAAATTAAGGCAAAATGCCTCCATGTAAAAGAGCAGACTGAAGTCAGGAGTCCTGCCTCTGACACTCATCACAGTATGAATCACTTCCCCCTCTGGACTTCAGTTTCCCCATTTTTAACACGAGGGCGTTGGACTAGACTGTCTCTAGGATTCCTTCCAGCCTATGACTCTGTGCTGTTTTGATGTGGTGGCAGATCCCAGATTGATTTACATAAATTTGCATGTTCAATCATAAATTCCAAACTCCGAGTATAGAAAATCCAATCAGTCCATTAATGCAACCAGACTGGGGCTGCAAGAGCCTGAAAGGTTTGGGTAAGTGTGGTGGTGAATTGTGGGGAAGGGCTTGGAAGGGAAGCTGGGGCAGGAAGGGGCATTTGTTGTAGAGCTGCAGTTCTGGTAATGCAGGACGGATGGGCCCAGGGACCCTCCTTTTGCCATCAGGCCAGGGTCCTTTCTCCTCCTGTTTCTAAAGGGCCCTTCAGCTGGCCAGCCTCCAAGCCACACCCTGGGAGGGCACAGCAGCCTCGCCTAGCAATAGCTATATCTTTCACTCTGGCAGTGGCTTCACCACTACTTTCAGGCACTTTTCCCTGGGAGCATCCATTATCCACGAGGTAGGCTTCCTGGAGATCTAACATCCTGCTGCAGCTTTACACCCTCCCCTCCACAGGTGACAGGGCCCAGGGCAGAGGGTTCCCCAGGCCCAGGAAAGCCAGTAGAAGGAACAGCACTGCAGGAGAATGGGCCCTGTGTCTAGGCAATGCCAGGGGCTCTCTAACCACCACCTCTCCTTCAACATTCCCCTTGGCATCTGGCAGAACAAGATAAAAACAAACAAGAACATGAAGGCCTTTGGCTCTTGGGCTGGAGAGCAAGTCCCAACCTGGAGAGTCTGACTCCTGACAAAGCCCTACCCCCAGGAGGGAAGGTGCCTGGGAAAGGTGGGGTAGGCAGCCTCTCCTTACTGCTGCTGGGTTACCATGGCAGAGCCAGGGAGGCAGGGTAGGCTGGGTAAGAGCATCAGGCATGATTCCCTAGTCTCTTGCCAGGGAGTTGGGCGTGGGGAAGAGGTGAGGTGAGGTGGGCACAGCAAAGGGGAGTAATGGGCAACAGCAGCGGGGCCTTCCTTGCCCTCTTCTTATAAGAGGGTGGATGAGTGTGCTGTGCTCTCTGGCTGAGATCCTAAAACAAGTCCCAACAGCTGAGATGCAAACTGTCTCCTGGGAATCTGCTTACCCTGCTGGCCCTTGGCTGCCTCCTCCTCTCCCAACCCCTCCCCAAAGGCCCAACTCAAAGACTGGCCTCGCCAGGATGTCTCACCAGAGGCCTTGATGGGTGGGCCAAACCCAAGCCAGCACGAGTTCATGCCCCAAGGCACCAGGGGTGAGCAGGACAGTGGCTGTTCTCAGACAGCATGAGGGAGTCTGCTCTTTTCTATCCAAGGTTCTAATGCCAAGTAACTGCGATACAGAACCACAGTCAACATCTTTAGTTCTCCAAACTGAACCACTCTGTTCAAGTACCAGCCAAAGATCTTTCTCTCCTCTAGACTTGTTCATCAGTGGAACCACACGATGGCAAAAAAGTAGCAGGCAGTGTTAGAGCTTTCTAGTCCAAGTCCTGAATTCTACAGACGGGGGAACTGAGGCTCAGAGAGGTGAACTGCCTTGGCCAACGTCACCCAGCAAGTTAGGAAAGTGAAAGTTTTTGACTCTCAGCCCATAGTAATAGATTGGTTGTCATACACACAGGTTTTCACTGCCTACAGTAGAACAGCCTTCTACCCTGCAGCCCAAGCCATCTGCCCCTCCTGTTTGCCCCTCTCCCAGAAGGCCTGAGCCAGAGAATGATGCACTAGGGCTGAAGCCACATCATGCACAGATGATAGACTTTGAAAACAAAATTCCACTATGAGGGAATATTTCTCCAGACAGGAATATATGTGGTTTCTGGGATACAAAACCCACCAACTCCAGGTTAACATCTCCCTTCCTTACAGACTAATAGTCTCAGGGAACCAGCTGGCATGTTTGCTAGAGAGGGTTTGCAACAAGGTAAGTGGGCCAGATTTGTACTGACCACAGAATGGATAGACCTTGACCCCTTGTTTACTGGTCTCCAGGACCACCCCTGTCCCAGGCTTCTGCCTCCAACCACTTCCTCAGGCTGACAATTGTTCTTATGCAGAGGACCCATGAGGAAGGGGAGAAGTGGTAGGGAGGAAATAAGAGGGATTGATTGCCACTACAGCCAGGGAATCCCTTAGCCCAAGACTATTGGCTCCTCAGGAAGGCAGGTACTAAGAAGTAGCAGCTGGACAGGCTGGATGGACTCGGCTGACCCAGGGTTAAGCCAGGTCTGTGGGAGATGAGGGCCCTCTGTGCTCTTGGGGCAGTGCCAAGGCTAGAAAAACCGCGGGGCCTTGGGGCCTAGGGCCTAGGATAAAGAGAAGAGGGGTAGGGTCCAGAGAGCCGCTTTCCTAGTAGGGCCAGGCCAGAGGAGTGTCGGGCACACATGAATTCTCTGCATTCTTCTGGCACCGCAGTCAGAACCCAGAGTCCTGACTGCGGGAGCTGCCCTGGCCCAACTCCCTGCCCAGCCCGTCTCCCTCCAGCAGCCTCTCTCCAGCGTTCAGCCCGCCAGGGTCCCCGCCTCCTTTCTGTAGCCCCTCAAAGCCTTCGAGTGGTTGTTCTCAAAGACCCCGGCCTCCTTCCGCCTCCTCCACACCCTATCGCCCCAGGCTACTGGGACTGGAAGGAGTAAGAACAGGAGCCCCAGCCTGTCTCTGCGCCTGCGCTTTGGGGAGAGCCCCACCGCCACCAACGGGCACCGCTAAGCTGGGCTCCCGGCAGAGGGATGCGGATGGGGTGGGGTGCTCAGCCAGGGCAAGGTCAGTGCTTCAAAGGAGGGAGAGAGATCGGCCCCCGGAACATCCCCTTCTCCCGAAAGTTTCCCTTCCGGGGCCACGGAGTGTGCGCGAGGATGGCGCGGGGGACAGGAGGGGGTGGGGTGGGGGTGGACAGAGTCGCAGCCGGACCCCCAGGGAAGAGTGCGGCGGGAGGGAGGGGCAGACAGCGAGGTCCCGGCAGGAAGCTGCACCGCTCCCTCTGGCTCAAGGCTGCCACGAGAGCTTTACCCCTCTAGTCCTCCACCCCTTGGCCTGGAGCTTGCAGACCCCCCCTCACCCGCCGCCCTTTAAATTCAAGTAGGCCCAGAACTCACTGAAATTAGGTGTCGAGCCGGGCCAGGGCAGGCCGGATCCGCCGGGTCCATGGCCGCTGCTAAGGGGCGCGGGGGGGTGGGGAGAGAAAGGGGGGGGTGTTGGGGCCGCGTCTTGATGTCAAGGCTTTAAAGGGGCCAGTGAGCCCCGCCCCTCGCCAAGACACCGCCTCCTTTCTCCAGCGCAGCCAATCCACGTTCACCCTGGATGCGCGCCCCTCCCAGCCCCCTCCAGATGTTCCCAGGACGAGAGCGAAGTCTGCCCGGCCGGCGCGCGCGGCTTCCGCCCAGGGGGGAGAGCCTCCCCTCCCCCCCCATACAGAAACCCTCTGCCCAGGCCAAGTTTGGCCGGGTAAACCCCGCCAGTGGCGGGCTAGGGGACGCGGGGCTGAGCCTACCAGGGAGGCAGGGGCAGGCGTTGTCTAGAGCCGAAAAACTAAGTACCTGCGCGCGGGCCCACGGACATGCGCGTTTGCTTCTGTGGGGCAGGGCGTGCACGTGTATCTGTGGTTGTGAACGTCGGTGTTTGTAATTTGCCATCCTGAATACGTGTTGGGTGTAATTCCTTAAGAAGAGGTTTGAGTGCCTCCCTGGCCTTTAAATGCTCCTGCTTTTCTTTTCCTCCTTCAGGATCAGGCCCTTCCAGGAATTCGGAAAACTGGTCACCAGGAACAGCGCTGCACCCCTTAGGGGAGCTGGCTCTTTCCCTCACTGATTGAGGATTTGGGAAGGTTGAGTAGGAAAAAGGTACAGCCTTGTTCTCAGCCACTTGCTATTTCAGTGAGGGCAAGCTCTTTCTCTGTGGAACCAGGCGCTTAAAGAGGAAAAGCAAACACCTCCCTCAGGCCTCTGCAGAGCCTCAAAGTTCCTATCAGTAGCATTTTCCTTGCTCCTTGTTTAGACATCTATTTGCCCTTGTCTGAATACCGTATAATCCTCACAACGTGCACTGTTCTGAATGGCCCGGAAAGGCAGGTTCTGAGCTGGCTTCTTCAGAGAATTGCAAAGCATCCCTAGGTACAGTCTCTGCCCGTTTTATTAAAATTATTTCTGTTGCTAGTACACACAGGATCGTGACCTAACAGCAACATATTAGTCCAATGAAGGAACATAAAAGCAGAGGGAACGGGGAAGTGCTCAGATTGGCTAGGATTAATCAAAGACTCATCTCTTTGTCTCTCTCATCTCTGAAGGAGGCTTCTTAAATAAGAAATGTGATTTGAAGGGCAGAGAGGAACTTGAGTAGGATCCAGGCAGGAGACTTAGGTTTTTGAGCATAGGGGTAGGTTGGTGTGTGAGGGCAGTTATTATTTGGAGTCTGAAAGATGTCATGATAGTTGCTCCCATCAACCTTTTTGCTTTTTAGTAAACACACACACACACACACACACAGAGATTGATTGATTGATTTATCCTTAATATACAATAAAATGCACAGATCTTAGGTGTTTTGTTTGATGAGTTCCAACAATAATATACACCTATACAACCGAAATCCAAAACAAGACACGACATTTCCATCACCCCAGAAAGTTCTTTCATACCCCTTCATAGCTGACTACCCTGCACCCACCACCTCCTTCCTCCCACAACTTTCTGCATTGTTTTGTCTGTTCTTGGATTTCACATAAGTGGGATCATACAATATGTAGTCTTTAGTATCTGGCTTCCTTAGCTTAGTAATAATGTCTTTGAGATCCATCCATGTGTATAAGTAGTTCACTTTTTATTGCTGAATGACATTCCAATATAGAACTATATCACAATTTATTCATCCATTCTTCATTTGATGGATATTTGCATGTTCAGGTTTAGTCTTTTATAAATAAGGCTGCTTTTTGTGAACATACGTTTTCATTTCTCTTTCTTGCCTCATTTCTTGACAATAGAGAGATAGTGGCATCTTTGGAATCATGCAGATTGATTAGTTTTTGATTCATTCAAGTATCTAACATTTATAGGATTGATGTGATAGTCTTCAGATTACAACAAAAATTAGACATAGTCCTTTCTTCAAAGTTCTTAAGAGTCCAGTAAAACTCTATATATCTGTTGCATTACAAAACCATGGGGTGGAAAACCTTACAAGTCTCTCATTTCTAACTATTTTTGGATGTTTTCAAATAACATTTGGAAGAAAATAGAACATCTAGATGATGTTTTACTTTCCATCCAGATGTTTACTCATTTAATAAACACAGCTAGAACATCTGTACTTGTCAGAGCAAGTGCCGCCCTCCTTCTTAAAGGCTCTTGCACACTCGATAGTTTAGGCATTCAGATTATGGTAGATTCCCTATGCTTCACAAATCATCTTCCTCTGATAGGAAGTGGAAGAAGTGTAGCTACCATTACTCTAAGATCCTTTTTGTGCTTAATAAGGCTTAAGATACCTTTATTCTTTAGTGGTATTATTCACTTAAATTGTTGAAAATTGTATAGAAGTCCCCAAGTGGATTCTCCACCCTTGTTATATATCACTAATCATATTTTTCTTTACTTGAGTTGCCTGTGTTACAAAACAAACTAGGCCTCTTAGGTCTCTGGTTGCTGCAAGCTATTGGTAACAAACCAGTTTGGTGGCGTGAGCTAGCCATGCATATAGTGCTGATGACTGACAGGTAGATGGCATCACAGAGAACCACCCCCTCACCGCTCACATCAGTACATTGAATGGGGTTCCCTGCTTCATGACAATGTGGTCATTCATTCAGTGTTGGAGAGTCTTCATTCCTTACAGGTTGTCATTGTAGCCATTTAGCCTGTGGGTTACATTGGTTGATAAGCTCACCCCAGTTTAGAACTCCTGACATTGGGAGATGGTCAGGTTAGTAACTAGCCTATCAAAAAATTTTAACATCCAGGTTATTCTCCAGGTTGTATTGATTCTGAGTGCATTCTTGATCTCTTTCCTGCTCATTGAGGAAAATAAAGGGCTTGGGATTGGCTGATGTTTGGTCCATATGCTATTTGAACTGCTGAGCTTTTTGGTTTGCAGTTGAGTGCTTTAACCACTGTGCCACCAGGGCACCTCAGATTTTTGCTACTGCTGCTTGATCCCACATAAGACAACCATGTTCCTTGGGTTCTGGCAGCATTACCAATATGTGCTTTGAAACCTCTCTGGCACAGTCCTTTTTTATCATTCATACATTCTTATTGAGTCTTTACTATATGCAGGCATATAATATTAGATAACTAACATCAAGTTCAATGTCGGGTTTGATAAGCAATGAGACTAGAAAGGTAAACAATGGGAAGATCATGCTTTATCTTAATGCTGAGACTTTGAATGGTGTTAAAAGGATGGTGAGATCCATCGACATATGGTCAGCTGATCTTTGACAAAGGGCCGAAATCCATTAAATGGGGAAGAGAATGTTTGTTTAATAAATGGTGCTGGCAAAACTGGAGATCCATTTGCAGAAAAATGAAACAAGATCTGTACCTCACACCATACACAAAAATGAACTCCAGATGGATCAAAGACTTAAATGTGAAACCTAAAACTATAGAGTTCCTCAAGGAAAAACTAGGGGCAAATTTAGGGGCCCTAATATATGGCATAAATAGACTATCAAGCATAACTCAAAATGCACAAACAGCAGAAGAGAAACCAGATGATTGGGACCTTCTAAAAAGAGTCAAAAGAGAACCTACAGATTGGGAAAAAATATTTGGTAATGACATATTGACTGCTAACCAGAAGTCTGGTGGTTCAAACCCACCAGCCACTCCTCGGAAGGAAGGTTGCGCAATCTACTTCCTTAGTGATACTGCCTCAGAAACCCAAGGAGGGGTCACTATGAGTCGGGGCCAACTCAGCAGCACATAACAAAAACAGCAACAACAACATATCTGACAAGGGACTTATCTCTAGAATTTATAGAAAACTCTAACACCATAATAACCAAAAGATAAACATTCCAATTTAAAAATGGGCAGAAGACATGAATAGACACTTCACCAAGGCGGATATTCAAGTGACCAACAAACATATGAAGAAATGCTCATGATCATTAGCTATTAGAGAGATGCAAATCAAAACAAAAATGAGTACCATCTTGCTCCAGCACTAGTAGCAAAGTTCAACGAGACAGAAAACAACAAATGCTGGCGGGGATGTGGAGAGATTGGGACTCTCATACACTGCTGGTGGGAGTATAAAATGGTACAACCACTGTGAAAAGCAGTATGGCGATTCCTTCAAAAGGTGGAACTAGAAATACCACTTGACCCAGCCATTCCATTACTAGTTAGTTATATATCCTAAAGAAGTGAAAGCCATGACAAGAACAGACATATGCACACCCATGTTCATC